GCAGAGAGAGCTGGAGGGGAGGCGGCAACAAATCCAGCAGAGGATCCAGGACAAACAGCAAGATGTGGATCTGCTCCAGCAGGAGGTGGAGGCCATCGATCAGTCTGCTGACAAAACAGTGAAGGACAGTGAGAAGATGTTCACTGAGCTGATCCGTCTCATCCAGAACAGACGCTCTGATGTGGAGCAGCAGGTCAGATCCCAGCAGCAAACTGCAGTGAGGGGAGTCAAAGAGCTTCAGCAGAAGCTGGAGCAGGAGATCACTGAGCTGCAGAGGAAAGACACTGAGCTGCAGCAGCTCTCACACACAGAGGACCACATCCAGTTTCTGACCAGCTGCCCCTTACTGCCAGCACTCAGGCAGTCCACACACTCATCCAGCATCAGGGTGCGTCCTCAGAGAAGCTTTGAGGATGTGACAGCAGCTGTGTCAGAGCTCACAGACAAACTGCAGCACATCCTGACACAGGACTGGACTAAAGTCTCACTGGCAGCCGCTCAGCTGGATGTTTTACTGCCACCAGAACCAGAGAGCAGAGCCGACTTCTTAAGATTTTCACGTGACATCACACTGGATCCAAACACAGCAAACAGATACCTTTTACTGTCAGAGGGGAACAGGAAGGTGACATTATTAGATCAACCTCAGTCTTATTCGGATTATCCAGACAGATTCAATTACTGGTCTCAGGTCCTGAGCAGAGAGAGTCTGACTGGACGTTGTTACTGGGAGGTGGAGTGGAGAGGGGGGAGGGTTGATGTAGCAGTCGCATACAAGAATATCAGCAGAGCAGGAGATGGGGATGAATGTAGATTTGGATGTAATGACAAATCTTGGTCATTAGAGTGTAATAATAATGGTTTTACATTTAGGTCCAACAGGATAAAAACCTCCCTCTCAGCTCCTCCTTCCTCCAGAGTAGGAGTGTACCTGGATCCCAGAGCAGGTATTCTGTCCTTCTACAGCGTCTCTGAAACATGGACTCTCCTCCACAGAGTCCAGACCACCTTCACTCAGCCTCTCTGTGCTGGACTCTGGGTTTATGGTTATAAATCCTCAGCAGAGTTGTGTGAGCTCAGGTGAACTCTCCTCTCAGCTTTTTGCTCAGAGTTCACTGCTGGGACGTCTCTGCTCTTCGTTTCTGTTCTGCTGCTTCTTGCTGTGTTTGTGGAGAAATCTCTGCTAACCAGGAGCTCCGTTCACACAAAGGCTGAACTTCTCTGAGCGTTTGCTGAACATTTGGGCTGATTTGTATGTCGCTGTTTCTCTTTTTGGTTGTTTTGTACTTTTATTCGTTTCAGAAAAAAAAAACCTTCCAACAGAAAACAAAATCTCTGATCATTTGAGTCTTAATATCAGAAAAATCCATGTTTACTTCTCTCAAACAAAGTTTATATTCATTATTTGTTCTGCTGTAACTTAAAAAAGTTTTAAAAAGTTAGAAACTGGAAGATAACTATTTTAGAAGATTTACTGTTGAACAGAAATTAGGATGAAACTGCAGACTGGAAGCTGTTTGTCTTTTCCTGTAAAAAGTTTTTTTTCTGAACATTTTATTAATTTTTTACACTTTTTTGGGTTTAAAAAAAAAAAAAAGGAAAACGTCTCATTAACATGTGACATAAAACACAACTTTCCATCAGTGATGAAACATGAAGCTGGCAGACACACACACACAGAAACCCGCTTTCTCTGGTTAGATCTGTTTCACTCTACGCCTCTGCAGCCCGTTCAGCCTCTGAGTCTTTCAGGCAGGAACAAGCCCCTAACTCAAGGGCTGAGCCAGTGTTGTGTCCAATCAGCAAAGCAGCAGCTTAAAGTGGATCTTCAGGCTCTTTGTGAGCAGCAGAGACACATCATCTGTTCCACACAGGCTGCTGTAGGAGTGTTCCCCTCAGCTCAACTCTTCCACTTCAACTACAACTGAATCTTCAGTAAAAACCACAGAAACCCGCAGAGCATCACAGTTCTGTGACATTTTATGTTTTTTTAAAGATCTGTGGGGTCCATTTAATCAGTTTTCCCAAGAAAATGTTGCTTTAAAAAAGCGGGTTTGGATATTTTGGGGTTAAATTTTGTTTTCCCGACTGGATCCGGCGGATCAGAGGCTAAACGTTGGTCCTGATCGGCTGAAAACTCTGCTGCTCTTCTGTGGACTGAAACCTGGAGACAAAAGTGTGAAGTTCTGGTGTATTTTTGTGGATCTACAGCCAAGTTCTTTAAACTCAAATTAATTTAACGTGTCTCTCTCATCATCTCTGTTCCGACATGAAAGTGTCATCAAACAGCTGTACTCTTTTCAAACGATGAGGCTTTTGTTTCTGTCCCTGCTAACTAATGGAATGGCCCCTGCATCAATATTTATTCTCAGTGTGTGAACAGTCTATCACTGTTACTGTTTAGAGTGACAATAAAATGACTAAAAACGTGAGTTTTCTGTGTAAAATTGTTGTTTTTTCTGCTTTTTCCTCTCAAACTTCTCATAAACTTAATTCATACTTCTTAGATTAGTCAATAATCTATAAAAGCATTCTCATTTTTAACAGACCACTCAGTGTGGTCACACACCACGGAGAAAAGAGACACCATGAGTTTTTAATCATTGTGGTTATTGAGAACAAAACAAAAATCATACATCATTAGCTTAAACAGTGTTGGACCACCAACCATTGTGACGTTCTGGCTCCGCCCACCGGCCAGACACCGGTAATCAGCGACATTGGTCGCACCTGCCATGGGCTGCTCTTAAGCCCCACTCTCGCATTCACCCGTTCACCTGGGCCAGAACGTCTCTATCCTAATGTGCGAGTCTTCCAGCGTTGTTTCTGCCTGCCTGCCTGTTACGTCCGTTTCGTCCCCGACTCCGAGCCTGCCTGCCCCTCGTCTGATTATCCTGCTTCGCCTGAGCCCTGCCTGGCCCGACTCAGTGCTCTGCCTGCCTGCCCGTGTCCCCGACCCAGCCTGCCTGACTCCGCGCTCCTGTCTGATCCCTCTGGACTGTCTCCCCGGCCTCGACCCCTGCTCGCCCCTGGACCCCCTTTTGGATTACCCTTATTGGATTATTCCTGGACTGACTCCCCGTTGCCGACCTCGCCTGCCTGACCACCCCCTCTGGTTTGTCCTGTCTAATAAACCATTCGAACTGACCGTTTGCCTCCGGGTGTTTTTGGGTCCGCTCGCTCGTACATTACAGTACGTTCTGGCCAACATGGACCCAAACCCCGACGGTCAGTGGCGAGCGGGGGTGGAGAGATCCATTGCGCAGCTTGAGGCTGGCGTCACGGAGATTCTCAAACATCTCTGTGACCTAGCCTCGCCTGCGGCTCCACCCCCGCAAGCTTCTCCGCCTGCCCCCGTGTCGCCTCCGGTGTCGAGGTCTCCACCGGAGCCGCGCCTCGCTCCACCCGGATCTTTCGGAGGAGATCCGGAGCAATGCCGGGCTTTTCTCACGCAGTGTGAGATCTGCTTCGAGCTGCAGCCCTCCTGCTTCCCGACGGACCGAGCCAGGGTGGCGTACGTCATCTCACTGCTGGAGGGTAAGGCGAGACTTTGGGGGGCCTCTGAGTGGCAGAATGATACTGCCGTCTGCCACTCGTATCCTGATTTTGCCCAGGAACTGACCCGAGTATTCAGTCCGGTGCTGCCCTGCCGAGAGTCATCGCGGGGTCTCTTGACTCTCCGGCAGGGAGCGAAGACGGTGTCAGAGTTCATTATTGATTTCCACCTGCTCGCGGCAGAGTGTCGGTGGAATGAGTGGGCACTAATGGACGTTTTCATTCACGGTCTGAACTCCCGGATTAAGGACGAGCTGGCTACCCGGGAGTATCCGAGGTCCCTCCGGGAGTTGGAGCAGCTCGCCTCCCGGGTGGATATCCGCCTCCAGGAGCGGCAAGGAGCACGTCGCGCAGCCCCCTCCCCTTGGGTACCCGCGGTGCCCCCTGCCACTCCCTCCTTTTTTCAGGAGCCAGAGGAACCGGAACCCATGCAGCAGGGAAGGACTACCCTGTCCAAGGAGGAGCGCCAGCGCAGGATGCAGCAGGGGCTCTGCCTCTATTGTGGTGGAGCTGGTCATGTCGTCCGCTCATGTCCAGTGAAGAGTCCAAGCTCAGTAGGGGGACGGGGATTACGACTGGGTTATGCCAGACTGGCGTTCCCCCCACATCAGTTACCCCGTGCCTCCCAGAACCAGGCCCGCGCTGCCAGCTGCCTGCGGATCCCTGGCCCGCAGGACCAGCCTGCCAGGGCGACCAGTTTGGCCTCCGCGTCCCCGCCACCCTCCTGTCCTGTCGATGGTTCCCCGGCTTACGCGGTAAGGGGGCCCCGGAAGTCACGTCGGAAGCCTGTCAGAGGTCCCAGTTTAGTTCCCGCCTCCGCGTCCCCGCCACCCACCCGGCTCATCGACGGATCGCCTGCGCTCACCGTGAGGCGGATCCTGCAGTCCATTCGGAGCGACCTGGGGCGTCTGGGATCCGCCCTTGAGGGGGGGGCTCTGTGACGTTCTGGCTCCGCCCACCGGCCAGACACCGGTAATCAGCGACATTGGTCGCACCTGCCATGGGCTGCTCTTAAGCCCCACTCTCGCATTCACCCGTTGCCAGAACGTCTCTATCCTAATGTGCGAGTCTTCCAGCGTTGTTTCTGCCTGCCTTCCTGTTACGTCCGTTTCGTCCCCGACTCCGAGCCTGCCTGCCCCTCGTCTGATTATCCTGCTTCGCCTGAGTTCTGCCTGGTCTGACTCAGTGTTCTGCCTGCCCGCCCGTGTCCCCGACCCAGCCTGTCTGACTCCGCGCTCCCGTCTGATCCCTCTGGACTGTCTCCCCGGCCTCGACCCCTGCTCGTCCCTGGACCCCCGTTTGGATTACCCTTACCGGATTATTCTTGGACTGACTCCCTGTTACCGACCTCGCCTGCCTGACCACCCTCTCTGGTTTGTTCTGTCTAATAAACCTTTGGTACTGATCGTTTGCCTCCGGGTGTTTTTGGGTCCGCTCGCTCGTACATTACAACCATAAAGCCCATTTGGAGGGTTTTCAGATAGCAAAACCTTTCTGAAAACCACAAATGGCAGGATCCTGAGATGAATAGTAATAATTAATTTAATATGATGTCGAGACAGTAAAAAAAAAAACACTAATCAAATATAATGTAGACTGTACAAAAATGCAGATAATGAAATATAATGTAGACAGTACAAAAATGTAGATATTGACCTGTCTCATTGATGCCACTCTGGCCCCACCTGTTACTGTCAGAGGGGAACAGGAAGGTGAAATGTATGGATAAACCTCAGTCTTATCCTGATCATCCAGACAGATTCACTGTCTGGTCTCAGGTCCTGAGCAGAGAGAGTCTGACTGGACGTTGTTACTGGGAGGTGGAGTGGAGAGAAAGGAGGTTGGGGGTAGTTTTTGTAGCAGTCACATACAAGAATATCAGTAGAGCAGGAGGGAGGGATGAATGTGTATTTGGATTTAATGACAAATCTTGGTCATTATATTGTAATAAAGACGGTTGTACATTTTGTTTCCACAGCATAGAAACCTCCCTCTCAGCTCCTCCCTCCTCCAGAGTAGGAGTGTACCTGGATCCCAGAGCAGGTATTCTGTCCTTCTACAGCGTCTCTGAAACCAGGACTCTCCTCCACAGAGTCCAGACCACCTTCACTCAGCCTCTCTATGCTGGACTCCGTCTTTATTTTGGATCCTCAGCAGCGTTCTGTAGTTTGTAAGAGACAAAGTTAAGTTGTTTAAAGATGTGACAGAGCTTTCTTTTTAAATTAACGGGTTGCCAAACTTAACATTAATCAGAGTTTTGCTTCATCTGGCCTCTTTCATAACAAAGTTTTCCATCTTTATTAGCTGACATCTTTTTTTCCACCAGAGGCTGCTATTTACTGATATATTCCACTGTCCAGCTCCATTCAGTCAGCAGCTTTTACACTCTGTTTTCAGGCCTATTAAGTATTAAGGCCTGTTAAGGCCTATTAAGTATTAAGTATATTCGGGCCTGTGAGGAACTTATCAGGACAACAATCTTAAACTGTTTTTATTCTAATTATCTGCATTGTTTTAATAGGAGAACATAATCAATCTCTTAATTTTTTCTTTTAGTTTCCTTTTAGGGATTATGGTGGGTTTAATAAACACAGAATATAAAGATATTCTTCAATTTAAAAATAAAAACTGTATGATTTAATCTGGATTAACTCTCATTATGTATACGGGAGACTGTTTCTTATTCAAGGTATCAGAAACTGAAGTTAACACTTTTGCTTTAAATTACATGTAATTTAGGGATTAAGTCATTTCTAAAAGTCACACACTTTTGATTTAGTTTTACTTTAACTCCACAGTTCTTCTCAATATTTCGTGTATTTAAAAAAACAATAATTACTTCTGTAAATGAGGAAATTTTAGATCAATAAAATTGATAGGAAATGTCTCTGAATTTGTTTGAAAAACGTATTTGGTCTCCTGGATCCTCAGCAGAGTTTTGTGAACTCAGATAAAGTGTCCTCTCATCTTGTTGCTCAGAGTTCTCTGTTCAGCTCTTCATTTCTATTTTTCTGCTTCTTCCTGTCTTTGTGCAGCCGTGGAGTAAATCAGTGCTAGCCAGGAGTTTTATTCACAGAAAGTCTGAACTTCTCTGAGCTCTGAATGTTCGCTGAACATTTGTGCCGATGTATCTGAATGTTGTTTTTTTTTGTTCCACTTTATGGAGCCAAACAGAGAAACCTGCAGAGCTTCCTCATCACAGTTTATTTTACATCTCATCACTTTGGAAATGTGGAAATTCTTTCATTTAATTTGACTTTCAAATCACACGTTATTGTTGTTTTAAAAACTCTGAAAAATTTTGATAACCCAGAAACCTTGTCAGATAAATCTCTTAATTCTCTGAACACCACTTTGCCATGAATGATAAATAAGAGATCTATTATCAGTTTTTTCTTTGTTGAAATTAAGCTATTTTTTGGAAGAAAAATCTATTTATTGATAACTCATAATAGTGTTATGGGTTAGGGTAGGGTTAGGGTTAGGGGTAGGGGTTAGGGGTAGGGTACAGTTAGGGTCAGGGCAAGGTAGGGTAGGGGTAGGGGTTAGCATTAGGGGTTAGTGTTAGGGGTAGACTAGGGCAGGGGTAGGCTTTTGGCCTCTTGGGGCCTCTTTGGCTCTCTTTGGCTCTCTTTGGGCCTCTTTGGGTCTCTTTGGGCCTATTTGGCCTCTTTGGATCTCTTTGGGGCTCTTTGGGCCTCTTTGGGCCTCTTTGGGCCTCTTTGGCTCTCTTTGGGCGTCAGTCCTGCAGGTTTAAGCGGTACCCCTGTTTCCACCCACCTGATTCACACCACTGTGCTGCGAGCCAGCCAGAGGATATCCAACTGAATCAGACCCAGCTGGGCAGAAGCAGGAAAACCTTTAAAACCACAGCACAGGGTAAAAAGGGTTTTTATCGGCCCTTTACCTCAGAGACTAGAGAACATAGGTATTTCATTTTGATATTTTATATATATTTTTCTATGACTTCGACATGATATTTACTTTGGGTGTCCAGTCGAATATTTGATCAATTTCACTTCGTATATTGGAAAATTCTAATGTTTAGGCATCCTAAGCAGAGGTTCTGCTGTATCCTGGCTTGGTCACACTTCTGCAGTGCACCACTTCACCACAGGGGTTCTTCAAGGTTCAGTTCTGTGACCTTTTCTCTTTTCCATATATATACATAAAACAGTGTCACACAAGTACAAGTGTCATGTTGACGCCCCGAGCTGAAGCCACTGGCAGCTCTGCTCTGTGCTGGTTCAACCGCCAAAAGTTCCCTTCACATT